GACTCCCCCTCCCCAGGCAAACAGCCTGTTGTGTGTTTTAATGCGAGCTCGGCCCAAGGTACCTGCAAAACAAGGGAAAAAAAACAGGGAGTAACCAACCTTTCTTTGCAGACAACCCCCCTGGGGGCCGAGTCTCCATCCCCTGATCAGGTCCACATGGCGTCTGCCAAAAAACTCAGAAACAACGACCAGAGGGCTATAGCCCGAGGTCATATCCCTCCCCAAGAGGAAGAGAGGACGTCATCTCCAGATCGCAAAGAACGCCCTTTTCAACCAAAACCAGCTAAGAAATCTCTGAGTTTTTCCCTGCCAGTCAGGACACTGTCTCGCAAAGACAGGGAGAAAAAGAAAATCACACAACTGTTTGTCCCACTGATCTGTTACAAGTCTCCTCTAGGAGCAAGTGTCTTAACGATCAGATCCAAGGACGACACACTGGAATTGCCATCCATGATCATCCAGGGCCCCCCATCTGAAACCCACGCAGCACAGCTCATTAACTCTACAGTTTTGAAGGGCTCGGGCACAGTATCGGTCCTCTTGTCACCGAACATGGGAAGGCACCTGGTTGAACTCAGCGAGAACGAGACGACGATCCTCCACATTGCTTTCTTGGACTTAGCCACAGTTGTGGGTTCCCAAGATCAATGGAACCAACTTCACGTCCAATGGTCCCCTCTTGCCCCTTTCCTGAACCCGGGTTCAAAATTCATCAGCAACATACTTATCCAAGCTAACCCCCCGACCCTCCAACCGATCATCCCAGTCAGATGTGTTGCAGATTGGCTGGCCTTGGTGGAGGCACATGTTATTATTGAGGCAGAGGGCTTCCTGGCCCAACACATCTGGCTGGCCTTGGTGGAGGCACAGGTTATTATTGAGGCAGAGGGCTTCCTCGCCCAACTGCACTCCAACGAACCCCCACAAGGCCCTTCCTCCCCCAAACTGCAGGACAAAACAGACCGCATCCAAACTCCAGGCGGCAGTGGCCAGCCAGATGGTCCTGCCGAATAAGGTAAGGATAGCAAATTGGAATGGTCCGCGGACTTGGTGATACATAAAAAAAAATTAAAAAATCTAGCCTTCACTCCTGGGTTCACTCCCAAGGTGTACACATCCTCTGTCTTCAAGAAACTAAACTGAGCAGCCAGAAACTCAGTAACATCCGAAAGAGCTGGAAAGGCCCTCAGTTCTGGGCGTCGGCCAACGGAACCAAAGGGGAAACAACAGTGTTGATTCACAAAGATTTAGATGTCGTCATCCTTGACTCCTACCACGATCCGGGGGGCAGATGGAACTGGGTCAAAATGGCCATTGGAGACGAAGACTGGGCTGTTGTGTCCATATACGCCCCTGTGGAATATTCAGAGCGAACTAATTTCTTTGCCTCTCTCCCAGCTGTCATCCCAGACGTAGAAAACATTATCCTAGCTGGTGATTGGAACACTGTACTCAACCCAGGGTTAGACTCCCCAAACCCATCCCCCCAAAGGGCCGACTCCATCATGCTCTCCTCCTTCATGGAAGCCTAAAGCCTAGTGGACGCATACAAAATCCTCAATCCCGAAAACCCAGGCTACACGTGGTTTGGCCCACAACCAGCTCCCTATGTGCAAGCACCCCGTAGAAGACTCGACTTTATATTGGTCAGGGGCTCCGTGTGGGACCGCTGCATGGGATGCGAGGTATTGGTCCACTATATCTCAGATCAGTATCCAATATGCATGGATGTCCTCTCCAAGGACATCGTTGACAAGGTGTGCCTGCCTTTCATACTAAATACCAACGTACTGAAGGACCCAGGGGCCAGGGATCCCGACATGGGTCAAAGATCAGATGACACATTGGATGAATGCCAAAGACCTGTTCCCTACTGAACACACCTGGGCGGAAACAGGACTGGGAATTATCTCAGCAACCTTGAACACTTTCTCACGTATGAAGGCAACAAAAAGAAATTGGGCCGAAGAAAGAACGCAGAAGGCGATCGCTGAAGCGGAACATAAGATGGGGAAAGACCCCTTCTCAGATCACTACTGGTTCCAGAAACGAAAGGAAAACCTGCTTCTTCTCGAGTCATTGGAAGTAAAAAAGCAAGAAGACTGGCTACAATTGTTGAGACTAAAAGGCTTGATTGGCTACGACCGCATGACAAAAACCACATTTCGCGCCCTGATCTTAAAATAGGCAAAACCAGTACTTCGCGAACTAGCCCAGCCCTTCAGTCTTCAGGCTCCTATCGCCACAACCACAAAAAGCATGTGCTCCTACGCAATGGACTACTTCATGGACATCGTGTCCACCAGACGTCCCTACGACTCCGCTGATTCTGATCTTTCAACCATCTCCAATTTTTGGGAGGGCATGAACACAATAATCCCACATGCATCAAGGGACCTCCTTGACCGCCCCCTATCCCCAGAGGAGCTCTACGCCGCCGCGAAACAAATGGCAAGCGACAATTGCCCAGCCCTTGATGGGTTACCAGTGAAACTCTTTCTATGTGCGTGGGATGCTTTTGCGACCTTTCTCTGTCAGATCTTTAACAACGCACAATCCACTGGCTCGCTCCCAAAAGGATGGCTAAAAGGGGCCATCTCCCTCCTTTACAAAAAAGGGGACAAGAAAGAAGTCAAAAATTACAGACCAATTTTTGTCCTCAACGTGGCGTACAAAATCCTGGGAAAAGCCTTGGCCATCAAACTAGCAGACCTCTTACCGACTCTAGTAGGCAAGGAACAAGGGGCGTTCGTGAAAGGCCGTTCCATTTTTGACAATATCCTCGCCACGATCGAAGCCCTCAAGATCCTAGCAGCGGAAAAGGAAAATGTGGCCATCCTCCTCCTCGACATGGAAAAGGCATACGATAAAGTGGGATGGGCTTTTGCTTTCACCACCCTATCACGCATGAGATTCGGCCCGGGTTTCTGCACATGGGTAAAAGCGATGCACATAGACGTCACCTCGGTGGTCCTAGTCAACGGGTGAATTTCACAGGAGTTTCCTCTAACTAGGTCGCTCAGACAGGGCTGCCCGCTGGCTCCCCTTCTCTTCGTCCTACAACTAGAGGTCCTACTCCACAACATCAGATCCAACGACCAAATTGTGGGACTCAATATCCCTCACGCGCTTCAATGGAAGGGCGGGGCGATAGCGGATGATCTCACAGTCGCCTGCACCAATACCCCGGACTCATTTCTAGCCCTTAGGGATGCCCTAGACATATATTGTACATTGTCTGAAGCATCCATTAATTGGGACAAATCCGCTTTCCTACTACCCGGCCCCCATACTATCTGTGTAGACTGGGGCCTCAAACAAGTACCAACAGACAGTTCGGAACGTTTCCTAGGGGTCCAGGTCTCCCTGTCGGACTGCTCGACAGCGCAGGACGCCCTACTTGTTGAAAAAGTAACAGCCAGAATAATGGGCTGGGCACGCAATTTCAAACTATCCCTGTTTGGGAGAGCCCTGGTGATTTCCTCGGCAGCCTTTTCAATCCTACGGTTCCCTCTGTCTGTTCACTTCCTCGACGACCTTTTCAATCCTATGGTTCCCTCTCTGTCCACTTCCTCGGGGACCTTTTCAATTCTATGGTTCCCTCTGTCTGTCCACTTCCTCGGCGACGAGGCCCACAAAAGAATCAAGGACATAGCGGGAAGGTTTTTATGAAAACCCGCTGCGTCAGAACTTCAAGGATATATGGTTAAAGTGGCCTGGGAAACAATCAGTTTCCCAAGAGACCAGGGAGGATTAGGCATATTAGATCCTAGCCAGCAAAATATCAGTCTGCTAGCTAAGTGGCCAGCTCAGGCACTAGGTAACAATGAGAGTAAAATATGGAAGGAAATAGCAGAACACATCCTCATGAGAGAATGGGAGCTGTCCCTCCCTTTGCATGTCTGGCTATGCTTCCTAATCAAGTCATGCTGCAATAGGCAGCCCAAATCCAGAATATGGAGGAACATCCTGGCGGCATGGAACAAACTGAGGCCTGACCTATTGACTGAACCAACAACCAAAACCCAGATCCTAAACCAGATCCTGTTCGAAAACAAATATATTAAGCCAGTGGACGACACAGTCCTCATGGCAGATGGCGGGCTGGGCACTTTCGGTCGGGCATGGGTCGAAAAAGGAGTTATCCAAATCAGGGATATCTGGGACTCACTTGAAGGGGATTGGCTCTCTCTAGATCAGATAAGGAGGAAACTACCAAGGTTACACAATGTAGCCAGTAATTTCCTCAAGGTGAAATCAGCCATCCCCCCACACTGGCTCGCTGCACTAAGACCAGACAGAGAACACCCCTTGGGGTCTTGGCTAGTGGATCAGCTACAGGCGGATGTCTGCTGGAAGGTCCTGGGCCCGGATCTCTGCCCTGGGGTTAAGGTCCAGAAGTGGCGAGTGTTGAACCCTCGAAAGAATATCAATCCCCTGCAATACATAGGGGATGAACTAGTCCCAACCACCCTGGAGTGGGAAGAGGTCAGAGTCCACGAGAGTCAGGCCCATAAAAAGCTAACCTGCTACCTCCTCCCTCTCTCCCTGGAGAAGCTGAGAATAGAACCCCTCCTGTATGGGTGGGACAATGACAAAACACAGGTCAACCCTACCCCCCTGCTACGCTACAAACCTAAGTGTGGGGTGAACGCACTTCGAGCTCGCATCAAGAAGAAACCTGCAGTCACTGCCAGGAAGCGCTTCGCAGATATTCAATGCACGGAATTGGGCCCATCGGACCTTCCAAATTTGTGGAAAGTGCTCAAGAAGATGCCATCTCAGAAGACGGCTGCCATTCTGTGGCTCCAATCCCTCCAAGTTACAGCAACAGCCGTATGGCTGAAGTCCAAAGGCATGGACATCAAGGATACTTGTGCTAGGTGCAACTGGGCAGGGGAGACCTCCCCCCACCTGTGGCGATATTGCCCAGAATCCCAGAATGTCTGGGAATGGTGGAAGGAGAGGTGGAGGGACATAGACCCCAGCTCAGACCTCTGGACATCATGATACCTTCATTTTACATGGCAAATTTGCCAAGCTGGGTCCCCTTACTTCAGGAAAAAACTACATTGTGCTAATCTGCAGAGGGATCATCATGGAAGCCATCTGGTGGAGAAGGAATGATCTCCTGTTCAAGGGGGAGAGACATCACCGACAGCAGATGTTTAACAGAGTCCTCTCTGAGCTCCGCATCACTATCCTCTCAGACTGGCGCTCCAAGGGCCTCTTCTGGTTCACCAAGACTTGGGCGCAAGAAGGGAAATTCGCAACAATCTCAGCAGAAGGCAAGCTGACCTTGGCTGAATGGCTTTCGCCGACTGTGTCACCCTGCTGAAATACAGGAGACCAGGTGGCTCCGGGCAAGACGTGTAATAGACACCCTACGGATGGCCGTCTCTTCTGTGACAGGCCAGGGCCTGTTTTTTTCTTTTCTTCTTATTCATCTGTTTCCTTTTTCCTGTTTGAATCATTCTTTGTCCAGTTTAACCTTTCTTAGAAGGTTAGCATCTTGGGACGCTGGACCCGGTTTCCAGCCTAGCCTAAGCTGGGTAATGGCCCCAGTTTTTCCTCCGGGTTGAAATGTTGAGGTTTTCCCAGCCTCAAACTGGTTTTGAGTTTAATATTATGCAATCCTGTTAAACAAAAAAGAAAAAGATAAAAAAGATCTTCTGTAGTACTCTGCAAAAGTCCCTTCTTAGGCTTCTTTTATTTTTCGTTTAGGACCCACTCGCCAAGTAGGACCCACTACCGGTAACCAAGTAGGAGATACTAGCCAAGTAGTGCTTAGTCGCAACCACTATTCATGTTCGGATCTATCATGGCCGTGGACCTCACGGGCAGCCCATGACCAACATGATGTCCAGTGAAGCAAGGTACGTGGCATGCCTGCCCTCCAATGTCTGGTTTAGAAATGATTTTTCCCACATATGCGTTGCTCGTTTCGGACGGGCGGGAAGTTGTACTCTTACGGTTTTTAAAGGGGCGGGGGTATTTTCGCACTTGGGATTTTTGCTTCCAAAAATTCGAGTTCGAAATGATAAAGGAAAACGTATAGAGTGCCTCTGACAGGCAGACCTCCACCCCTGACGGTCAGGCTGCTGGTGGCATGAGAAGAGTGGCCAATGTGAAATCTCCTCGGGATTCTACTGAATATTCAGTATGGAGCGATGTACGTGGACGACTTGGAGTACTGCGGTAAGTGCGCATGGGCTTCACGCCCTTCCATGAGGGTGATAAAGTCCTTTCCAAAACAGGAAAGTCCTAGCCTCAGATCCAAAACAGCCAGCAGCACGGTATGCGTTTCAACTTTCAATTCATTTTTTAAGAGCAAGGAACAGTTTCTTGGCATTAGAATATATATATATATATATATATATATATATATATATATATATATATATATATATATATCGTCACAAATAGAACTGCCCGGTAAACCGTAGGCAGAGA